CAATCGTTTAAATCTTTCCCAATACTCGTGAAGGGTCTCAACATTTTTTTGTTTTATTCCACATATCTCTCTTCGAATGCCATTGGCTCTTGAAGCAGGGAAAATTTATCAAGGAATATCCTCACCATATCGGACCAAGTAGTTACAAAACCAGAGGGTAAATAGAAGAGCCAATCTTTAGCTCTATTGGTTAGCGAGAATGGGAAAGCATGTAATTTGATCTGCTCTTCAGTCACTCCTTGTGGTCTCATACTTGAACATACAACATGTAATTCCTTCAAATGCTTATGAGGTTCTTCATTCTCAAGTCCATGGAAAAGATGAAACAAGTGAATCAAACCATATTTTAATTCAAAAGCTACCTTCAAAGTTGTGTAGTCAATTCAGAGCTGTTGTTGATTCACATTTGGTGCAACCAATTCTCTTAGAGTTCTTTCTTCGTTGGCCATTGTTCCTTCTATTTAAGAATCGCTGGATGAATCAACCAAGTTGAGTGTAGATTCTGATTCAGGAGATGATGAAGAGGAAGCTTTTTTGTTGCGCAAGTTAGTTTCTTTTCTTAACCTGCGAGCGGTCTTCTCGATTTTAGGATCGTATTAGAGTTCACCTACACGAGAAGAACGGAGCATTAAAATACGTCTAAATGACACCAATCCCCGACAACGGCACCAAAAATTTAGTGGGTGTTGAATCCAACAAATAATAATATGTTCTTTTAGAAATATAAATTTGTAATAGCGATAAGAAAGGTCGAATCCACAGGGATTGGATAGACTTATTTTAATGAAAATTAAAGCAAATAAAAGGGGTTTAAAATCGAGAAGAAATCAAAAAGAAAAAGCATTTAAAATCAACCAAGAATTTAGAGATATCAATATCAAGCAAATATCCAACTAAAGGTATAATTTCAGAATTGGTTTAGAGAATTGATCATAGATGCAATGATAAAATCTTCTACTTTTCACTAAATTGGTTATGGTTATTCAGAAGCTCTAACAACCTGTCTCTCCTTAGTTTCTTGATAATCAAGAGAAGCTCTTTGATTATTTCGCTTGTTAATGAACAACCCTAGACAATCTCTTAAGATTTAATCCACCAACAACATTAACAACTAGAGGGACCACCAATTCTAGCCAACAAATACACAAGCTCGATTCATTTAGACTAGGTTAATATCTTCATAACATAATCAAAATCAACTATGTTACTTTACCACTAATATTAGAACGTTTAAACAATTAAGGATTTAAAGTTCTAAATGTCAATTTATCGACCTGATAATTGAACAACGGGCTCTTTGCACAATCAATCAAGACTATAATTCTTAATAAAAACAGAAGATATATAAATAGCAAAGAAGTAAAAGAACAATGAAAATTATTTAGATCTCACAATCCTTGAAGAACCAAAACTTCAATTATCCTTCAGTTGGAAGAAAAGTATTTAGCCACTCATAATTGAAAGAACGCAAAAAGAAAAACTTAATGAAAAATTTGATGTAAAACTGATGCCCTAGCTCCCCTTTTATAAGGATTTCCTACTCTAGATAAAGAAGTTTCAATTAAAGAAAATCCCACAAAAATGGGAGTTTTAAATGCCCTCATCCTTTTCTAAAGATAAGAATAATTCAAAAGAGTATTCCCATCCGTCATTAAACTCTTTTACCCTTGTAAATTCATAACCCTAATTTAGGATTATACATACTGGTAAGGCACTCCCACGCCTTAACTGAAGACTTTTCTGCAATAAATCTGGATGAATAAGTCGTGCCCACGCTTTATGCGAAAACCTCTTCTGGTCTTGTCAACTTCTTGAATTCTGATTTTTCCTCCTTGATTTGGGGATTTTGTGAAGATCATGCTAATAATTAGATTTTGAACTTGTTTTATCCAAATCTTCATCCTAATCAACAAAATACGAAATATGAGGAAAATATCATAGAATATATGTCTATTATGCATCTTATCAGTATATCATATAATGCCAAGTTACGAATTCAAATTGTATAAATCATATTGATACATAATCTGGCTTGGCAAGCCAATGTTCATTCACATAACCTGCGAAACTATATTTAGTATGCCCCGCATACCTATCAATTAATATTTTTCCAATTTATCCTTTATTTTCCCAATATATGCCAAATAAGAATGCAATGTACATGCATTGCATCGAAGTGCAGAAATGGAAATTCACAAACTCATTATGAACTCCATGGATGCACACATAGTGCCGAAAGTACACGTAGTAATGATACGAAAATGCACCGTTATGCAATAAACAAAATCAATCGATAACTTTTATACATAATTGTATATTGAAATGGTAATTGAAAAACTCATTATGAATACCATAGTTGCACATCTAGTGTCGAAAGTACACATAGTATTGATAAGAAAATGCACCATTATACATTACACAAAATCGATTGATAACCATTACATACAATTTATGTCGAAATGCACATATGACTCTCAATTCACATACAATGGGCTTTTAAGTCAAATTCATAGATTTAACATTCATTTCTGAACATAGATAACCATTAAAAGAACATAAAAGTTCATCTATTCATTTTAGAGTAGTTCATACTCTAAAATCATTCGTAGTATCATTTCCATAAACATTATAAAAATATATCGAACTACTATATAACATACTTTTATCAAAACGTTCGAGGTTGACTCATCGCAAGTCATCCTCATCGCATATAAGTACATAAAATGCACTCACATGTTATGCCTCACTAGTGTGCTTTAATGATGTACGACTATTTGATAACTTTATCCTTGTCCTTTTTCTTGCTTGACTCAGGAGCTTGGTTACGATCTGCACATGCATCCATAATTACACATTCAATACAAATGTTAGTATTATTTCTAACATTTATATATCTAATAATACTCAAAAGTACTATTATTTTCGAATTCTATTTAATTTCATCATATCTTAAAATTTTAGACTGACTAGTATCGGTACCCCTACTATTGTATCGATACTTTTATACTATGGTACTGATACTCCCTTCAATATCGATACCATTTTTGCATTCTGGAATCCATAGTATCTATACCTTCCTCTTAGTATCGATATCCCACAGCAGTATCAATACTACTTGCATCAATATCGATATTGTTCATCGTTTTCATCCTCTTTCCTCAAATTTAACCCTATAGTGTCGGTACTGTTCTTTCAGTACCGATACCCTTACCCAAATTTTTCATATTTCACTTCGTTTTTTACCCAAATTTCGTTTAAATCTCTTACTTTTATCTCCAACCATACCATTAAAATCATCATAACTTAACCCAACTAACTTACCTCCATTAATCTTCCTATAACATCTAAAATTTCCAAAGAACACTCCAAACTAAGAATCACACTAATTTTTCAAACATGTTTTTAATCACTTCTAAGGCTCTCAATCACTTATTTACTTCTAACGCAAGTCAAATATACTTTTAAACTTCATTAAAGGATCATATTTCATCATATCATTAAAAAAAATCATTTTCTTAAATCTCAAATAATTCACTAATCACTTAGTTTTATTTAATCTTAAGCTTTCCTTAAGCTTCTATATCATTTAAGGCTTCAAAACCAACCCATAAACTAAAGGAAAAACCAACTTGAAGAAATCTTACCTTTGGGTATGGGGAGAGCACGGGGACGAGAAGGAGAGGAGGAAGAGATAATTTAGCTTTTCAACTTTTCCCCCTTTTACTCTTAATAAATTGTTCAGATTTTAAAAAACATGACATTTTTTTATGACACATTTTTTGCAAGTCATAAATTAGCGTGTGTCATTGTTCGTGTGTCATTAAAGGTATATTTTCTTGTAGTGGGAAAAACCAACTTGAAGAAATCTTACCTTTGGCTATGGGAAGAGCACGGGGATGAGAAGAAGGAGAAGAGGAAGAGATAACTTAGCTTTTCAACTTTTCCCCCTTTTTCTCTTAATAAATTCATTTTCCCTCTTAAGGACCATAATATCCCCTCCATTCTTCCATTTTTACTAATTAGTCTTAAACACAATTTACAAAATCATTTCTTATACTTTACCATTTATTCAATTTAATCCTCTAAATTTTAAATCCTTTCATTATAGTCACTGACTCGATATTTGGGTATTACAATTGCTCTTAACTCAGTAGTATGGGATGAGATAATGCTTTTTAAAATTTTGGAGAATCATACTCGTTTCTATATATTAATGAATCCAAACGTAAAAAAAAAAAAAATTGCTTCAAATATACTGTCTAGGTATGATCATTATGAAGAAAGAATCTAAATTTCTATCTTGTATTTATACATTACTTCTAAAATTAATCAAACTGTCGGCCCTTCTAATTGAATATAGTCATACATAACTGCATTGAATGCCCCCATGCTTCTTCTCTGTGTTAGAAAGATTGCGTTCTCCCCTTTCTAAAATCTGTGACCAGCCACATTAATGCTATATAATCTGTACATTCCATGAATTCCATGTCATGCTACGGCATTATCGTAACTTATCCTCCTCGTAGTAAAATACGGTCGAATGCACTCGGGTCGTTGAATCGGACCTATGAATACATTTGTAAAGGTTCATTAGCATAGAGAGTAAGTGAAAAGCATAGCTACATTCTATTCCTGTTAAATGACGACCGATAATGTTGAGATTTATACCTGTCCATTGAAAAAACAAACTCGTAAGTTGAATAAATATGTGTGGAGATCTTCAGGGTGAATGGCATGCATGACCAAGAGGTTAAACCGAGATTACTTGTCTGTTTCATCGAGGCACAATGAGCTAACAAGCATCGGCTCAGGTTCCGGTATGAAGAATTCGGCTGCTGTGCGGTCTGGAATCCCAATTTCCCACAACGTATGGTCATTCCTTGGAGGATCATATATTAGAGTACCTACGCTAATCTTGTTTCCTGCATAGGCATTTATGAAAAAAGATTATGTTATTTCATGAACCCAATGGTTTAGAATAACATGGAAATAAATTTGACTTGGTTGGATAGTGATGTTGAGATCCAATTTGTAGCCTCCAATGAAACCATGGACCCATGCATACAAATTATGCAATTCCGGTCGGACATTTTTTATTTCGAAACGTCCATTGTTGTCGGATTGAGTCCAAAATTGATAACCCTGAAAACAGTAAAAAACATGACAGAAACCAGAGTTGGAATATTCATATACATCTATATAATTAAGACTTAAGATGTAACTTGGTTAACAATATTAACCTTCCCGCCGTGTTGCCATGATCCTGCATCTCGAGGAGCAGCCAACACCACAAAGGCAGATTGTGCCGGAACGAATTCCTTATCATTGTACCAGTTTCGCACAAGTAACTGACCGCTAACTTGGCCTCGTTGTTCAGCATGAGTAAAATCTTTGGATCGAGTGAAATTGTAAAGTCAGCTTTCGATTTCTTCACTCAACTAATGACGCACAAATAAGTGATAAATGAGTTAGTTGCTCGATACCATAAATTTAAGATTACCCGATCTTGCTAGTGATGAGAAAACCTGTTTTTGAGCGTCATTCCAAAGTGTCTTGCGGTGATCATTATTGGAAGAAGCAGAATTAAGATGAATAAAGAAGGACCGAACACCTTTTTCCAGTGCTCGCTATTCTTATATCAAAATCCTTCCCGGCATAGAGAGCGGTAACTAGCATATAAATCATCGAAACAATGAAAATTTCACACAATCATTTCTAGTTAAATGAAAATTATTGCAAGCTTCTATAATTTATGCATGTATGTAGTACTTATTGGGTTGCAAATAGACTTACGCATAGAGAAGTGGCACCAGGATGAGAAGTGAGGCCCTCCTTATGAGGGCCACCAGCTCTCAACTCAGAGCTTGGTGTGATTATCCATCGTCATCGGATATCCATCCATGAAGCTTGTTATCTTTGTTCTCAATCAAATATTGGTACTTGTCATCAACCTATGGACCACAGTTATTGAACAGAAAAAGGAAGAACCTGTTTGTTGGGATCTCAGCACAGCAATTGCAAAGAACAAATATCAACACAGTGATTAATCGCAACCATAAAGCAGGTGTAAAGCTGCAGCTATTTGCCTTGGTCACTTTCTCCATTATTTCCTACTATTGTACTGTAATAGTTTGATTATAGTTTATATGTATTTATGTACTTTTTTATTATAGTTTGATCATGGAAAGAATTAGTCCTTGGAGGAATTTATGTTCTTCCCAATAGTTTTAATTATATTCAAAGTGCAAATTTAATTATCATTACGACATAATTAGTAGTAAGTAATTTTTAAGTCAAACACCTTATTATTATTATTATTATTATTTAGATTTTGTTGTTGGTTAATGTAAAAAAAGAATAAAAGGAAAAAGTCTTATAATATTCTAAATAAGATTTTATTTTATTTAAGTACATTTTTTGGTGATTGAGATTTTTTATTACGACATGATTAGGCATGTAACTTTTAAGTCAAACAACTTTTTTATTTGCTTTTAGTTTGTTTAGGTTTCTATAAAAAATTGAAACAATAGACCAATAGTTATAAGATATTATTTTATCACTATATTCTAATACATTAAAGAATTACTCTTTTAATTGTATTAAAAATTTGTTTAACATAACTATTTAAATAATAAAAATATAAACTTCATTCAAGCATATTCTAAGTACTAAATGATATAATTTGACTCGAATTTAATGCTACACAAATTAATAAAGATATAAAGATAAGACAAGTAATTTAATTTAATTATAAATGAAAATCTATTGTTTTATGTTTGTTAATAACCGAAATTCTGCTTTGAGTAGATTTCCTATTTGGGTGCTTATGCTTTTCGCATCTATGGTCGTTGAACCATCTTAAACTTGAATTTCGTATAACCCCTTGCAATAGTTGCAACACTTACAGATCAATCATTTGATACCTTAGAATCCTTTTCGACTCCGACTAACTCGACTTAATACTCTATATCAAATATTTAAATTACAGTTGTGGATTATTTTTGAGTATGTTATTGTAATCATTGCAAGTATGTTATTGTAACCATTGCAAGTATTGTGGTTGTATAATAATTATTATTGTAGGTATAAGTGAGACTAGTGAATTCAACAACCACATCCATTTTTGAATAAGTTATTTGATGGTTCCTGAGCTGGTGGAGTTGAATAATATGAAGCCGAAATGCTTGGACGAGTTAGGGATAACAATTTAACTTGAAATCAAAGGGTTTTGTTCCGATCCGATAGGGTCGGATTTTTTATAAAATTGTTTTGTTGGAGTCAGGTAGGTTAAAGGAGTAAGGTCGAGTCGGGTTTAGGTGGAGGGTGAAAAAACTCTGACCCAACCCCATCGAGGATAATAATGTAATTTTCTTAAAAAAATTATTATTTTGTTAAATAAATTTTTATTTTGTAACGGAACAGATCTGGTCGGATTGATTTATACTCTAAAAATTCTGATCAAATCAAAATCAGGTGGAGAATATATATTTTTTGAGTCAAGTCGGGTCGAGTAGAGAATATATCATTTTCAAGTCATGTCATATTCGAATGAATGATACATATTTTTCAAGTCGGATCAAGTTAACCAAAAGCCCTACCCAGCCTAACCTATTGTCATCCTTGCATCAAACCCTCCTAAAATGATATTTTAGGACTAAGTTTGACGTCCTAAGTGATAAAATGACAAAAATACCCATAAATTTAATTAGATGAGCTAGAAATATTAAAATTTGAAAAAAAAAGGAAGTAAAATACTCTTGGATGATAAAAAAACTAAAATACCTTTTAAGGTTTAATAAATGAGCATTAAGTCCTGAAACTTTGAAAGAATGAGTAAAATAATTTTACGGCTAATTAGTAAGACTCAAGATCCTAATTTTTGAGAAATAACTGAACTTGGAGTCCAAGTCTTGTAAAATTACCAAAATACTCCAGATAATAAATAGATTTGAAGTCTTAAACTTTAGATAGAAGATAAAAAACACATAATATTTATTAAGTGGGCTTGAGGCCTTAGACTTTATAAAATGAGGTTTTTCCCGATAGGGCTAATATTTTATTATTTAGTCGTATAAGGCACATTAAAGTTTATTGTGGGATCTACGACATTTGACACAATGAACGAGTTCCTCTAGAAATAATAACTTAATGGTCCTAGGTATATGGGCCCCATGTGGACTAATATTTTATTATTTCCAATGGAACTCGTCACTTCTACGTGATGAGTCTTGTTGAAAATTAATTTTTTATTTTTACCTTTACCAAATAATTTAATTTTTTTTAAAATATGCCAAACTCAACACCTCAACATGATAAGTTTGTTTTGAATTTTAAAAAAGTACATGTTTCTAGCCGTTGCACAATGGGTAGATGCAACAGACAGATTGCAACGGTCACGATGGAACTCGTCACCTCCAGGTGACGAGTTCAGTGGCATTTTTTAGTTAACTAGTCCTTTCTTGTCGTTGGATTTTGGGTTATAAATGGGAGTTTAAGGTTTAGGTTTTCTTATTGTGTTTTGTTAAGGAAAAAATCAAAAATTTTAAAAAAATGTCAGCCCGCGATGAAATATTACGCCTTGATGATGTCCATATTTCTTCACTCAAGCTCAGACCAGATAAAGAACAGAGAGTTCATTAAAGAGGAATGGGTCTCCAAGATTCGTATCAGTGGATTATTATATATTTGCAATAATCTAGGTTCTATCCAACGACCTTTTTGCGTGGTTTTAAGGTTAACTCGGCATTGATTATTGCTCTCATTGAACGTTGGAGGCCATATATGCATACTTTCCATTTTTCGAGTGGTGAAGCGGCAATTATGTTGGAAGATGTTGCTTACTAACTCGGTGTTTTGGTTAACGGTACGGCGATAGTGAGACACAACAATTTCAACTGATTCGGAATTGTTCACCAAGTTTTGCGAAAGATGCCACCATCAAAGGTCTTAGATGGGTACTAGATACAGATCAAATGATTGGAGTCTTAATTTAATATGACGGACGACTCTATCGAGCAAGAGGTGATTTTTATCAGCCGAGCGTGTTTGCTCCAATTGATTGGAGGGATATTGTTACGGAATAAATCTGGTAATTTGACACGCATTCAGTATCTTTCGATATTAGATAATTTTACTTTGTGTCATAATATTAGTTGGAGCTTGGCGATTTTGGCTTTTTTATACCGGGAACTTTGCAAGGCTTCAATTATCTAACGGGGTGAAAAGCGGATGTAGCAGGTTGTCTAGTCTTGCTACAATCTTGGGTGTGGTACCGGTTCCCATTTTATTCGCCAATTACACCATCCCGGATTGAGTTTCCTTTCGCTACAAGGTAATTTTTACCATGATTTTTTATTAAAATTTTAAATTTAATTTTTTGTATTTTTTTAATTTTGACATTTTATATTATTTAGATGGTTGCATAAAATTATTGAGACGAAGTTATTGGGTGCAACTAAACAAGATATACAAATGAGAATTGATATGGTCGGTCAAAATTGTTGCGACATTTGGGTCTCATCAACTGATTCTTACGTAAATTATGGATATAGACGCACTCATAGAATTGATACGCATGGGAAGCATACCCAAAATTAGTCGAGGAAACATGCTAATTACATTGAGAAATGGAATCACCGTCATTTCTTGGTCCCTATGCATTAAGAGATTTCACTCACTGACCTTGATTTCGATGTTTCTCCCTACCTCCTAAATTATGAATCAAATGGAAACCATATTTCACGACATAACAAGAGAGGGAAGAATGGGATCGAGGAAAGGCCAAATTCAAAAAGGCCAAGAAGAAATCATCATCATCATCTCCGTCTTCTACTTCTGCCGCTTATTTTGCATCCCAGAGTAGTTTTGGTTTTTAACCTTCATATTATGCTACAACGGAGACTCAGTCGAATTGCGTTGGAGGTTCATAGGATGAAATGAAAAAAACTCAAGCATCTTCGACCGAATATGCAGGTAGGGGTGAATGGGATCATATTATATATGGTCAACAACATAGCCAAGTTGAGTCAATGATGACAATGATGGCGTCAAATACCATAAGCCTATCATCGTATTTTGAAGGTGCGTCTCAAAGTGGAGTGATGTTTAGTACATCTCCTCTACAACACTGTATTTTTTTATTTATTTTCTTGTTTCATATATATTTTTAAAAATAAATCTGATGAAACTTGTCACCTCGATATGACGAGTTTCACCTATTTAATTTTAAATTTCTAAAGCTTCCCGTTACACAACTGATACTTTTTTAAAATTGAAACCAAAATCATCACGTCAAAGTGACGAGATTGACATTTTTTTAAATTTCAAATCATTTAGTAAAGGTAAAAGTAAAAAAAATAATTTTCAACAAGACTCATCACGTCGAGGTGATGAGTTCCATCGTGAATAATAAAACATTAGCATAAATGGGGCCCACATACATAGGACCATTAAAAATTATTTATAAAGGAACTCATCATCTCAAAGTGTTGTGTTAGAAGTTCCTTATAACAAATGTTGTAAATCCCAAAATAAATTTCAAAGTGGTCTATTGGGCTAAATAATTAAAATATTTTCCCTATTGGGCCAAAGAAACCTACAAAATGACCGAACTATATTGTATGCGAAAATGAAC